CACCATGTTCCGCTATAGTTAACGCGGTTGATCATGGCCAAGCCACTTATTCTCTCACGAGAAAGTATAATTGACATTACACAATCTCATATAATTTACTAGTCTAGCTAATTCATGGCAATGCGGCACGCTTTATTTTCTTCTACACAGAAACACAAAAAAAAAAACGGCAAAGAATTGCGTACGGAGAAAATCTCTAATGAGGTGACGGGATCTACCTTTAGACCTTGAATGATAACATTTTGTTGACGACTGGTAGTGTGTATATATGTATGCAATGTTGGTACCTTTTACTATGGCGGCTAGACCTTTAGATATTATTAATCAAGCAAAAATCCACTGTGATCCATATATGTAAAACCAAAATGGACACGAGATAATTTAACGAGAGATTTCACGTCGTATATAACTCAATATACATATCCAAGTTATTTTCTCGAATAATCCTGCAGGGAGGGTAATTGAGCAGTTCAGTACCTGGTAAAATATCGGTGAAGTCATACCCGACAATGTTTTGATTTCATTGAACTTATCGGTGACTGATAAATGGCGATAGAGAGTCTTCGATTGTAGAGTTTGTACAAAGCGTAGCGCTGCCTCCGTAATGGGCTACGCTGACATCGCCCATTTTTTTGGCCTGCTATCGGCCCGAAATTCGGTGCACCTAAGCGACACTTTAGCAAGTTTATAACTAGCAACGTTGCTTGAGGCACGGTTACTATCAGAAAGTTATTTACGAAGTAGAGACGGAATATTTTGGAAATGACGAGCAAATAGTCTAGGTTCCGAATTGATAATATAATTGCAATAAATAGTGGTTATATTGGATGAACAAGGCCGCCAAGAATGACTGGCTAGTGACCGATTCCTGCTTTGTTCTTTCACCTCACATCATGTTTTCACGGTCGTTTATATAAACTAAATATAACTAAGCAACAAACTCCTCTCAACTAGGACGAGCGAACTGTCACAGCTGCCCTCGAGCGCGGTCATAACGTCTATCTATCAATTCGTCATGACAATTTACAACGACCTCATTCAGTTCTGATCGTATGGAAAAGGGGCAACTGACTATGATCGAACGCTCATAGTCAGTTGCCCCTTTTCCATTCAGTACTAGTTCCAATTCTCTCGATTCGAACTCGTGTGAACGTTACATTCCTATATAAATGTAAACATCGAAATGGTTAATCGCCGCGGGTCTATTCAACAACAACAACGCCGACCGCGTCCGTCATGATCGGTTAACAATGGAATATGATAATTGTGATGGTGATGACGAAGGACGGAGACTTCTATAAAGAACTTATAAGCGATCAGTCGTCGCAGCGGCAATGTCATCCATAATGAGGAAGGTCTCCATTGTCTGAAATCTTAAGAGGCCCGTTCGCAACACACGCCCCATCATCCCGCACTACCCATTATGCGTACATCTGCTTGCCTGCCAGTTTTTCGGTTTTCAGCGTTACTTTAACTACTGCCGGCTTTTACCTGTCTAGCCGAGAATTCCTCTAGGTGTACATGAAGAAGCTAGATAGTGCGTTTGTAAAAGTTGTGTTGATGTTAATGTACCTGTACATCTCATATCTTCAGTGTTGATCTACGCTTGCAGGCTTAGTAGTCATGTACGTATCAATGCGGCGAGTCTAGTCTAGTTGGAAAGTATTATCGCTGGTCAAGTCTAGTGACTTTTGCGTTGTCATTACGTGTGCTAGGATCAGATAAGTACAAAGCTCTTTCTTGTTCAAAACAGAAGGAGACACTCCAACAGCGTTCTGTCGCCGGTACCTATTAGATGCGACAGGAAACAACTAGGACTAGGATTACGGGCTGACGTCGAGCGCAGTAGGAATCAATTCTGTCAGTTTTGTTAAATCGACTTTCATTGTAGCAGTGCCACCGTTGAGTTGACGCGCGTTAAGCGTAGATATCCGTCAATAGTCATTGACTAGTGGATTTAAATAGTGGGTCCAAACAGCGAAAGAAAACGAGGGATGCGCACCTTCGTGAAAAGAGTTTTCCAGTACCAGGACCTAAGTCCGTTTTGGTTAAAATTGAGATTGTCGATGTCTGTGTCCGCTTAATAAATTATATAGTTAATTAGATTTCTTTACACTAGCACTATAAGTGAATCTAACCTGTATTTTGAACGTGAGTGGGCAAACCTTACATTTGGAACTCTGTGTTTGCCTATGTGTGCCATTTGATCTAAAGAGTGCTTTTGGGGTGTCTATATTCCAGATTTCCACAGGATAGTTTGTCAGAAACATCTGAAAAAAATAAATATATACAAACTTAAAATCAAGAATAAGTAGACTTGGGTCCCTGTGCACGAAAGCCTTTTATGTATCGTCCGACGATGTCTGGGTGGCAATACGCTTTTCACAGCGCTATACGCAGCGTTTGATTGACAATACGCCTCAAATGATTACTGAATGTCTTGATAAGTAACCCCCAGACTATTCACCGTTACTAAATTTATTCTTGATAATATTAAATAGTGTTCAATGTATTAAGTGTGTAGTGAAATGATCATATGGTCGAAAAATCAATTTTAGTCTATTACGCGTTACGATTGGTATCTGAGCACCGTCGATGGGGCGTCGGCCTTCAGGGGCAATGTAACAGAAAGGTCTATCCGGCTTGTCATTTCCGTTTGAAAGGAATAATGCCGAATTGGCTCAACGTTGAAGTAAACAACAACTTAATTTCAAAATCACTTAAAATTCGATCGAAGATTCCAAAACGAACTATATCCAAGACGATGCTAATTTTACACAATTAAATTGAATATGGAGCTTTCTTTATTGGTAACCCTAAACAAACAAGTAGCCATTCGTAACGAAAATATTTGACGGTGTTTTATTACCAGTGAAGCTGGAGAGGCTTAACGGGAAAATATACAGAAAGATGAGAGGAATGGGGGGCAGTTATAGAATCAAGAGGAACGATTGCTCAAGGTAATCATGAAGGGAAACGTTAATAGTAGACGTTTTAAAAACGTAGAATAATGCGAGCGTCTCAGGAGAATCGGGAAGAGAATTTCCAATTATAGAAAGTTGGTAATTGGGCTCTGGCGTAAGAATTAGTAATGGAGATTAAGGATGAGGAAAGTGTGCCCCTTGGTTGAAGTCCTCATCCTGGACAAATAGATAATTCGTTGTCAATCATTCAAAGCATAAGTTGACATCCTTGCCGATATAATGTGACCGATTGTTTAAGCAGAGCGATAATATTTTATATGAGCTACACTCACCACTATAAAAGCTACATTTTGAAAAAGAGTCCTGTGTAAAAAGAACGCTCCTTGACCGTACGGAGTGACCGGCCCGCCGGTAATCGAGCCATAACAGCTGATTTAAACAAATGTTATGCTCAAACTTTTCATTCCAGCTGGTATAAGTAAGCAGTGTCTATAGACTCTATATATGTGGTCGAGATATCATCCCGCTATCTATATACTTCTAGGTTTATCTATTTCATCGACAAAAGTGGTTTAAGGAGGAGACTCCTGGAGGCCGATTTCACCTTCATATGACCTTACCCATATAGATGTTTTAATTGCCACGCAAGGATAGCGCTCCCTGGCGTTTTGGGCGAATATGTGAAAGTTACACAAGCCGATGGGGTGGACCACTTGCAGCTTACTGCCCGCACGTAAGGAATCACTGAGCTGAATATTGAAATTATACAACATGCGAGTTCGCCTATGAGCAGCACCGGTATGCGGGAGATAGTTATCGATATATACAGAGGGGCCTGTTCTACCCTTATTTCAAATTAGATGGACTGACAGGAACTACAGAGTTGGCTAGAATACATATCTAATCTAGGATATCAACGTCCCTCAAAATGTAGTCGGAATCCAGAGCGCAAAAATATCGTATCACGTTGAACTAAATGTGTATTAGTAAGAAATGTTGGGTGGATAAACTACTAACGAAAAAACAACAAAGACATTAGAGCATTACCGTTTGATGCTCTCACAGGAGTAACAACAAGTGCTGCTGTCCGTAGTCAAAATACAATAGCGTTTTCGCCTCGACTGTAAATAAAAGGATGTTGCATATGGTTTTCGAAGTATAAGATAAACATGGAACGCGAAACGAAGTGGCGGGAGGAAGGTCTATTAATCCTCGACCTTCCATCGGACCCGAAGCTCATAGTGTCAAGAGGATCCGTCAATAAGCAAACCGCGAATTTGGGTCGTGGCTACGTTATCGTTATTCACAGATATAATCTTTATTTTCACTGATTTGAGACAATAGATATATAAATCCTTTCATTTTGGTAGCGGTAGTAGCTTCAACGTGGAACCCCTAGACTCATAACATTGAGTTTTTTCTTCTATCCTCTTATTTGGTACATTGCGAATGTTTTGGGGTTGTCAATTTTACGAGTGGAAATATTAGTTAAAAAAAATCATGCTGATATCTTTAAAAAGTACGCAACGATATAAAGCTTCAAATTATTTAAGGAGGACCCCCTAGAACACAATTACAGACTGGTTAAGTTTGTAAAAGACAAAAAAAACTTTCAGGAAAAAATTAGTTGAGCTCCATGCAGGCGACTTGCGCATGTGGATTGTATCATCGCATGATATTTTAAATTATTAGGTTTTACTAGCAAAATTATTTAAGAAGCGTTCGATTAGAAAGTTACCTTTTAGTTCTAGAAAGTGGTGGAATCGGTTTTCGAAGCAGGCAAACGGCCTGGTTTTAAAAGGGTCCATAATCTTTCTCCAATAGCCGATATATTTTAGAGACGAGCACCATATTAAACGTTCAACTGGAACAAAGGCTATTTTTGGCTACAATGGTTAAATACCACATCGAGAAATTATCAAGTACATGAATTTAAAAAAATATGTGATATGAATAAATAAATCTGTAACTATTCCTGTATTAGGCCCCCATATATTTCCATATGAGGTTTGCAATACAATTAAAATGAAAGCACTATTTCACAGCAGCATATAAAACAAACGAAGTGCCATTTATTCGGTTTTTATGTATAGATACATACTCTTCGAAGTACACCAAGTGTTTGCCCTTACGTAACAAATAACTAATTAATCCTATAACTTGAATCGCAGTTATAAAGCATAATGTAGAAACAAACGAAAACCGCTATAAAGCTGGTATCTTGAAAACAATTATCCTTTGCTAAGGTTATAACAAGCTAATTCAGCAGCTAAAAACCCCCGGGTTAGGTTTATGAGCTACGAATTCGTTACACATAAAAGTATATAGAGTGTGCATTTTTTCTAACTAGTTTATACATTATTTGACATTTTAATGAAAGCCACCGCTGGTGGTCTTTTTATAGCACTGAATCTTCTTAGCGCTAGCGCACGCGCCACTGCCCTGTGCAAAGTATCTTTGCTGTGGAAAAACGAGCCATATAAAGAAAATTCATCGTGTAGTAGGTAAAAATCAGCGACGTAATTCTAGCTGAAACTCAGATCTCCACCCGTCTCTACGACGGCTGTGAAGGATTTGCAGCGTCTTTGTTCGCAGCTACGGCGACCAGCTAGCTATTCCACAATGGTCTTTACATGTTAATCATCATGACGAAATTTGATGATTTTTCAAGTCAATATGATATAAAAGTACGTTTTTTAAGTATCAGAGCAATCTTTGAACGACTGCTTTTACCCTTTAACAGCCAGCTATTGGCTGTATATACGTCATTTGTAACCGGTACCCCCTAGTGCAAATTAGCTATAGTTTTTACAGTAACAGTATTTAGCGTAATCTTTGCCCTTAACACAATTAGCGTTCGAGCTGTACCAATCTAGGCGTTCAATTCTTGAGAGCAGCTCAAACTTGCCATCTTTGTACTTTGCTGAAGCTTCAAACGTCGCCGTCTTTGGGTGTGCGTATAAGAGGATCTTGTAAATTTGAAACTGCTTATCGGGGTCCTCTAGTTCGAAGACATCATAAATTCGCTGGAATGTCCAGGTACGGCAAAGGTTCGTTACGTTATTTTTGACCAGCTCCTTGTTTGCAGTGCGAATAACAAAGTCTGCAAATTTCTTGGCCACTGGTCCAAAAGTGGCCATCCGCACTGCCCGCAAGCATGAACAAAACTGAAGATTAATGCCTGCATCAAGGCAACTTCGGCTCTCAGGAATCTCTCGCGATATAAGGCTCAAACCGTGGCCTTGCTCCGTATCGCCGTTCATGGCCCACGATGTGGCCAGCTCCCGCAGAGTGGCGTGTATATCATACACGGTAATCAAGCGGCGTGAGTTTACTACCAGGTTGTCGATTATATCAGGCCTCAGTTCTATTAGCTTTGGCGGTAGTATAGTATAGAAATAAGGCATCATGTCTTCGTACCGGCCGACCGTGGTACCTCGCCACATTTCGAGGCGTGAACCGTGGTCAGAGAGGAACAAAATAACAGTATTATTCAGAAGACCTGTTTGTTCAAGACGTTCGAAAAACTGAAAAAAATCGTTATCTGCTCGACGGGCGCCATTAAGGTGATCATGTGAAAGTTCTGAAAACCAGGCATACGCAAATAAGGGATTACTACGTTTCGCTATGTGAAGGGAGTCAATGAGATACTGCAGGTAGATTCTTTCGGCAAACTGATCACCGATGCAAAGCTTTTTCCCTTTCTGTTCTTTTAGATCGCTCCTATCGATGTGCTGCATCAACGCCCGTGGATAATAGTCTGTGGGTACTTTACGAAAGCCCTGCATTGAGGGATGAATAAAGAGGCCCGTTTGCCACTGTTCTTCAAAGAACATCGTGCTGAACCCCTGTTTCTTATAGTAGTCCCAGATATATTCGGTCAGATTGTCAAAGTAGTTTCCGATCGCACGGTCCATGAGCCCGGGAATGTAGCTTACACCGGTTATCATCGGAATCTGATTCGGTGCAGAATTTTCGCCAATTTTATTATAGCCGAACATCTCCACAACACCAACACGATTCTCTAGCCAGTGGCGCGTTTTCCTCATTTGCCGTAGAAAATTGAGTCGAGACAACGCGTCTATGCCAAGTACCAAAACATTAAATACCTGATTGTCGCCCGAACGCACGCGATCAGGACGAGCTTTTGGAAGCAGCAGCGGTTGCTCGTACGTTCGATCGTGCTGGGTATCCCTACACGAGATCCAGATATATTCTTCTGGCGTGCACGACCCCAGACGATATGGTTTCGGCATCGACATATCGAACGACACGTCGGGTCTAGCGGAATGCTCATCGCGAATAGGCTCCCGGTACGAGCACTGTAATGAGCTAATGTCGAGTTTCGGCGACTGTTTAACCACCATGTCGTCGTTCAGAACGGGACAAGTTTGATTGTGGACTATCTGCGTCGTAAATAGCAATGGCACCGCATCTTCAGGGCACTCAGTTATCGGTTTTTCGAAATAGTTTGCCACGGCGGAATCAAATGGGTCGAATGTGGGCACGAAGCATTTCGAAGTGTTTAAACTAAAAGGTTCTATAGGTTGATCAATGACTCGATGCAATTTGCGGCGTCTGACATTTTCACGTTCAAAGTAACTCTTGACGCCGATCTCCGTTGGCCGTGCTACGAAGGTGATTTTATTATTTGCTTTAGCGGAACTGTTACCAACGGCAAACAAAACAAGCGTTTCTTCCGGTAGATCAACAATACTACTAATATGAAACAAAATAGATACGGCCGAAATATTGAAAAGCACCAGAAGTGCCTTAAAGCGTTGAGATAGCATGATAGTTTGGAGCGATCTCGAACTGGAAATGAGAAAACAAATGAAATTCGTTAACCAGGACCGAAGTAACGTTACGTTCAGATAGAGCTAGCGGGGCTAATAACAGCCGGCACGTGTTGGGTTGTCCAGTAATTTTTTGACGAAAACAAATCCATTGCAGCACCACCTCCCTTAATGTTATTTATGATCATGACATAGTTAATTAATGCAACATGTAAGAAAAACGGAGGAGGTTTTGAGCGGTCAGAATGTTTCCTGAGGAACCTAACCGCCACTGCAAAAGCAGTAAGAACGTGCTCGTAAGAAGTCTCTAATTTTTTTTTATCGTACCTACAACGGTGACTTCAAATTTCGGCGCACAGAAGGTTTATAAATATAAGCATTTTATTATGTGTATCAAACGGTGAACTGTCTTTTCGATGCTGCGTAGGTCTTCAGATTATAATAATAATAGCGGCTATTGTTGTACATTATTTTATATTGACACTTCTCGTTTGGTCATCAGGTGCAGTGTCAAAGTTCAAAGAGGTAATCCAGCTGCGCTGCAAAATGAGCTCAAGCCCTAGTGAAGTTTCCGTTAAATTTTATTTACGTCATCCGGCTAACCATACAGTATATTCCATGCAAAAATGTATATATAGCAGATAATAGATGTTAATATTGGTAGCTGATCGTCAATCTCGAACACTAAAAGTAAATGTTTGGTGAACAGATCTTTTTGACTGCTGCCCTAGTGTCATGCATAGAAAAAGCAATACTTATGACGCGAGCGAGGACACTCAGCTTGCTTTTGGAATGGATATTCTGCGTTAGTATCTTATATATAAGTGAGGTTGTGGATCAACAATAACAGAACAAAGTTATACTTAAACTATAGTTTACGATATGCAATTTGTGTTCGGTAACAATATACACCTCTAAATCGAACATGGACCGCCTATAGCTATCAAACATGCAGAATCACCATCTGAGGTCGGTAGACACTAATAGGTAACTTTTATAAGGCCACAACTATCGCCCTGGACGGACAATATATTAGAATGATGCAATGCTAATTATGATATACTGAATTGGTACTCTTCTTCCTTTTTTATCAACCACGCTCGTCATAACGATACGCACATATCTACAAGACCGTACGAATCCATCTAATGTAGGCAATTGTAAATCGACGTATCTAACAGAGCCCTTCAGTTTGTGACAACGATGACCAAATTGCTTCCCAATGAACGATTGAAGTGTTCACCTATCAATTCGTAACAAGTTTTAATCAAAACAAATAACAGTCCTTATATGGGTACGATTCCGGTCATTTTCTACTTATTACCAGCTCTAGTACTTTCAATCAGAGCTCGGCATACTGACATTAGCACAATCGTTCGAACAGTCAATTTTTTCTGGAACGCTGCACAGCGTCTAGGAAGAAGTAGGTACAAAATGCCTAGACAGCATGACCTTTTCCTATCATCTCTGAGGTCGTCGTTTCTGATCATCAAGAAACCGGCGGTTATAAATTGGCCGTGCACACACATTTCATACGGTTGGCATTTTCAGAAATGTCCATACGGCAGTCGGAGCAGCATTTCGTTTCGAGCAACCTTTAAACGCTTCACAATAACACAGTCCTATGCTGTAAAGACACCGTTCTGCTTCGACGGGTCCATTTGTGATGTTTAAAGACACGTAGATTCTTGATCACCACCGGTATCCATAATGTATGCACTGCGTATTTATCCGCCAACAACGCGCACCATGGCAATTCTTATGAGCCGATAATAGGGGTAGGCGGGGGTAATTGTGATCATGATAATGGTGGAGGCGGCGGATGGAAACTTCTGTAAAGAATTCCCATGCGAATAGCGTCAGCGTTTATGGAAACAGAGAAACTCTGAAAGCGACGTTAAGCAATTGGTGCTTTGTTCCTTTCCGTTAACGTAGTGTGCACACCTGCATGCCTATTGCTTACTCTGATCTCCACGGCGACCGTTTGGCTCTCAGTATTGCCTCGGCTGAGACAGGCTTTTCCGTATAGTTGTGGACCCTTTTCTTTGTGGAAGTATTTAACAGTACGTCTGTAATAATTTATACGTCACGTAACATCTCTACGCGTTATTATTTATCGGCTCGCCCGTATAATTGACCTACGCGCAACGGTTACTCACAATACCTACCGATACAGCGAGGCCAAGCCAGTGAGAAGGGATCGTTGCCGATTGATACTTCTGTTATAGTTAATAAGGTCTGGATCGTCATCATAGCTGTCGTGGTAGGCTTACCACAGAACGCTCTCGCCCTTAAAACAGAAAGGGGCGTTTAGATATAGAATGGCATTAACAGTAGGAACAGTGGCGCTATCATACTGGATACGTCATGTAGAGCAGTGCATGCGACGTGAAACAGGCCGATTCTTAGCGAATGACCGGCGTCAGCAGCGATGGTAACAGGTGTAGTAGGACCCACCCCCCATCAAAGCTGAATTGATGCAATCTTCAAATTATTGCCGAAGAAGCAACACCTTCATTGTTGTTTCTAGGACCTGGCTCATGCCGAGCGTTAACAAATATGCTTTTAGGGTGTTTAGGTTACAAATTTTCCCAATATTCCTTCCCTGATTGCCAAACGCACTTAGAAAATCTAAAGAAGAAACCAAACTGAGGAAAGGCATGCATCGTAAAACGATGTTTGGGTGAGTACGTCTGCTACTCACGCAGTTACACATTACTTTAGACGCCTGTTTTCCAACACGAAATGAAATGTGTCCATCGCTATTAAATATCGCTGATGAAAGTATATAGCTTGAATACAAAAATGGTTATCTTATTACATAGTCTCAAAAAGCAGAGTGAGCCTACTTCTCGTCATGGTTAACCTTTAAACTGGACCAATGGTGCATCAAATCAGGCCTGAAGAGGCGATGTAATCGAACGACTTCTGCCTTATGTATTGGTTTCACTTCAAGAGAATAACATCGAATTAATTCGAAGTTAGGTTAGACAGTAACTATAATACGTGGATTAGTTCACTTTATAGAAAAGTAGTTTCACCAAAGATTCAGAAATGTTGTTGACAACCCTAAAGGGCGCCATGTTTGGTACAGTTCGATCACCATTTCGTCTGAGCATCGAATAATTTATATTTTGACTGGATACTTTTGGAACGAAACAGCTAGACATAGCTAGATGTGTGGACAATTCGCCTCACAAGGCAGTTGTTAAAAGAGTCCGATCAGTTCCTTAAGTAGATCAGAAAACATCGACGACCGCTAAATTTTTAATGCGGCCCAATCAGGAAGACTTCAATGAAAGTCACGTGATTCTCTAGGGCGTGGGGTAATAAGCAACTTGTTAACAATCGACTGATGAAAGCAAATTTTACTCTATTGATTCGTTTTTCCCGAGCCGCACCATCTGCAAAAACTCTTCATGACTAAGACAAAAATTATTTTCTAAGCGACGATGAATTCACTTTCGGCTCAATCCCTGCGATGCCATATCACCAACAGAATTAGAGCTTGACGTTGCTCTTTGGTTCAACATGTCGAGTAATAGCCACGTTGGGATGACTTGTTATGATCTTGATAGTATGCACAGCGACTGCCCGCACGAGTGTTGCTTTTGAGAGAGTACGTGGAAAATAAACATACCAAAATTCGCTTAATTTGAGTTTTCAGCACTGCTTAGTAAATAAATCTAATATATTTAAAAAAGGGGAGCAAAGCTAAGGGGTACCGAACGAAATTGTTTTTACTCACATGACCGTAAACTAAGGAGACATTACGGTGCATGTTCATTTAACTTGAGTAGTTTTGTTAAAAAAAACAAAAAAACCTCAGACACTTTTTAAAGTGGCCCCTGGCATAGGGATAGGAAGTTTCACTTAACTATTATTTAGATTTTGACTGGATATTTAATCAAAAGGTTAGACATTCGATCGCTATTGTCAGACATATGAAAACGATAGCCCGTGTACCCAATCCTGATTTCGGCTTCTTACTATTGCCTGTGAATGGATACCTGTAAGTTTCGATCAGCCGTTAATACATATCAACAACCTGGTACGGTTTGGGTAAAATCGTTACATTTCTAATGCCTGATACGTCGATACGTTTGCCGGGCTATGGCGGTATGACGGCACCGTCGTTAATTGGATCGCGGGTGCGGTTAGAAAGCAACGAAGGTATGGTTTTTTTTAAACATAACCTCTGTTATTATTGACGACTTCGCGTTTGGTATTTGTACCAGCAATCGAAACATTCAGGTCGACAAGTATAGCTATACGCACCAGGTACCGACATCGATCCCCCTATTGTGGCCGTAGTCAGCTTTTGAAATGTACAACATTTTCTAACAAATAATTCTAACTATTATATGCACTAATGAATGGTATCATATCTGCAGTCAGGTTGCCCAACACAATATACAACGTTATATGGTGCTGGCAGTAGTACGAGGTATTCAAAGTTAACTGAGCACATGGTTTAATGATAAATTTTGGTTTGAATTCATAAGGCGTTGGCGTATGTGCAACTCATCCCACCATGGTGCAGTGTATCGTGCATTAAACTACAAGATACAAACTGCCTCGAAAAAAGGTATCGTAAAACCTACGAATCCTGTTTGTATAGAACTGGTTCCTTGGTGCCGAGTTCACTATTTCTATCATTGGCTTTTGCAAATTATGTTTGTTTCAATCTGGCAATGATTGTAAATTATAGCTTACGTGCAAAATTCAGGCTTCCGTTAGCCAAGGCACAGTGGGAAAAAGTTTCTTTAACTCTGTGCCCGTTCGGTGCAGAAAGTGCGGTATAATGACGATGAAAGGACCGTATACGCAGCTTTACGACGTTTTCACGCAGGTACCATTTGAGAATCTAAAATTGCTAAAAAAATTGCTAAAATAAAAACTTGGTCGGATGACGTACACAAGAACGATAATGTTTAATCTGCATTTACTAAAAAATCGCAGACGGTATTCAGCAGATGACTATGATCATTACGACAACGATCAGCTCTGATCGATTGTCAGATCTTTTTCAGTTTAATAGCGTTTTGCAGTGGCACGTTATTCTTAATCTGTGACTTCGATACGATTCGTGACGCGTCTGTTCTCTAAACTGATTTATATTGTACCAACTGTGAGAAGACGTCAACTAAAGAGACGCCGGTCTTTTGTGTTAAGTAGTTCATTAGTTGAACTTGTCTAGCCAAAATGGCATCTTAAAAACACACAACAAAGCCACCAGCTCGTACAGGTTTCAGAATGAAAAGAAAGAGGTTGCCAGACGGACATTTGGCGTTGGAAAGTAACTTTACCCTAATAATTTAGCTAACCAAAATTGTAAATAATATATGGCTGGCAAAACGCTAAACAAGTTCCGATAAATTCATCATAGATGATTTTAAAGTTTTCCAGCTGCCAACAAAGTGTCACATGTATGTTGCTTAAGTTTACCGCGGCATATTTGATTATGAGATCGAACACCCAGTGACGAAATGGTGTAAAAATCAGCTAACGGCCCAAATACTCCTTTTTGGTCTCTACTAATTGCGTTGATCCTGCTGCAAGAAGAGTTTTCTTTAAGTGCATAACACAAAACTATCGTAATTGTAGGATAGCAAAACAACTGCTATTATAACGCTTATTTTAGTGACAATAACAATGATACGAAGAGGAAAAATACTTTTAGCATATGTTTAGGCAATTCAAGCGCATCGCCTACCTATCGGGCTCGTACACATATCTACGATAGTCATTCTTATGAAGTTTAACATTGACCGGGCTAGATCCAAATGAAAGCAACTTTATGTACAATTCACTGTCTATATGATATGTACTTAGCTTGCCACAGGCTAAAGACACTCTTCATTTTTTTATAAACCACAGGCACGGGGCTGTGTAATTTACTGTGGTCCGAATTCTCCGATCGGCATAACCTATTATGGAAAGTTGTTCGTTGGTTTTTGTGCCTCTGCCAACAATGTCGTTTATCAAGCTTCAAAGTGCACTTGTTCAGTTTAACGAGGCGCCACCCTCCATTAGATTCTTACAAATTTGCAGTCTACCTAACGAATGCAACCTCGTTTTGTTTCATAATAGCGCCTAGATCCGCTGAACGTTCGGCTGAACCTGTACCGTCCCAACCCACTCTATTTTCGTGTGGTGGCCTTCAGTGTTAACTTATGAAAATAGAATTCCCCTCTTCTGTCTTAGTTGGCGACTGAAGAAGTCATAAAAAAAAAAGAGGCAATACTGTAATAAAGTTTCTGCAGTACGGTAGAGAAACCGCAAGGCAGTTTCTCTAATTGGATGCTTTAGTATGTATCTGCTCCAACGCACGTTATATGCCAACGCACAGAATCGTCGAATGATAAATAAGCCATAAATTTCCATAACATTACGGAGTAACATACAGCTTTCATTTTGAACGACTTAAATAACTGCGGGTACTTACACCAAGAGAATCTTGAACGCATAAATTATTTACGATATCGAGCCTTCGAAATCGTTTGCGAAAGCCTCCATAGGTGGTTTAAAACTTTACAGACTAACGTTATTCGTGCCGCATACTCCTGTGTTTAAGTTGCGCATGCCAAATTACAAAACAAAGACCTATTGCTACTGCCTTATACTAACTGACAGCGTATTGACAATCAATTGAAGTTCCAGGCTGTTTGACACCCTGGTCCTATCTATTGGGCAAATATTCGTGTCTAGCTTGATCAGGAAAACGCACAAGAAATGACATCCTTGTACCGCTCTGTTTTTATTATTAACCACACTTGGTCTTAGCAAACAAACAACAGCAAACAACGACTTCGCCACAAGCTACGTCAATACGAGCCGAAAACCTTTATTTTTACATAAAATGCTTCTGCCCATTGCAATCGACCCGCTGATAGCTCCTACGAGCCCTACGAGATATATACCCTATGACATCAGCGATCAACGGAAAGGGATATCTGTTCGTACATCATTAGTTTAACCAACGCAGAGTGCAAATAGAATACTTCGAAAGATGCGACATCTACAAGACGTTGACAATCGGTAGACACGTTCAATCAACACATAAACGCAATAGGCGTAACCTTGAATAGAGCTCATTTAAGTCGATCCACATCGGGGGCAG